CCCCCCCCCCCCCCCCCCCGCCCTCTAGGAAGGTGTCTTTCCTACATAATGATCACTTAATAGAGTTCGGTGACTCTCTTTTAGACATCATACTAGGAGAGTATGCTCCCTTGGAAACCTTTCCTGGTGTATGCAATCTTAATAAAAATATCTGTTGAGCTGACGCTACTCCGAAGTTGACAAAAGTGATTTTCTAGTCCGCTACAATTTCTCTTATTTTTCTGTTACATAGTTTTCAAAACAAAAATGACACTACTTACAAGTGAACGCCAGTAATTCGTTTAAGAGTTTCTTGAATAAGGAGGAACTTGTCGCGTACGGGTCGATAGTTGTTTGCCCTCATGAACATAAGGGGACCGTTTCTCGCTCGGAAAGCTAATGTTCTTCTCCAAATAATTCTGTCGACGTTTAAGTCAAGCAATAATATTCTAAGTTGACAAATTATGCAAGACAGGTAATAACTACTCATGGGTTTGCTGTAATTGCTGTAAGGGGCTAGTCTGGTTGGTTTGGGAAGAGTAGAAAGTGTATACACATAGGCCAGTTAATCCGCTAATGGGCTCAGAGGCACCTTTTTGTGGTGGTGGACTGGTATTTGTCTACAAATTATTCACCTCATATTTTGATATTTAGAAACAAGCAAATCCCCATGTTTTTTTTCCAGTTTTCCAAACTTTTAACATCCCCCTAAGTTTATACATTAGAAACAATTCGAAAAATAATCCAAAAATTCTCAAAAAAATATTGAAACAAGAACTCCAACATAATTGATTCAATTTTTGATTAAATATAATCTTGGATAGAAAAGAGAGGAAATAAACGAAAAACAATGCCTTCCAGTAGACTGCCCCCTTAATACGCAATGTTATTTTGGATCATAAATTCTTGTCCGGAACGCACCGTTAATTAGTATTGAATCTTCTTTCCTCTTGTTAGAGTATATTTTCAAAGTGGTCCTTTAAAACGCAATCAAAGCAAATTGATATTGAATTTAGATATTAATAATTTATAATGGTAATAATAGTATGAATATAAATATGAATTTTAATATAAAGTTGAATATGAATAATTTTAAGTTTCCAACGCGAATTGAAAATTAATAACTGTCTCCTTTTTGATGGTGTAAAACACCCGAGAAAGAATTGTTAATATTTTTGTGTACGTAGAATTAAAATAGGCGTCTCTGCGTCACAGAACATTTTAGTGAATTTCTTGAGGCGAGTATTCTGAAACTTTCATACTGACCTCGGTTGTTCAAAAGATGGATAGCGCCATCCACCGGATAACTGACTATCCAGCGAATAAGTATTAGGGAAAGAAATTGGGTCATCCAGTGGATAGCTTGACTTGGCCACCTTATGAACAACTGGGCCAAATATTGCAGAGTTAATAAAGAACGTCAGACAAAGCAAATGTGCAGTTTGTCTTTAATCCATAGATGTCGAGCAACTAGTGAGGGACTGATGTAACAACTCTTCAAAAATTATAGTATTTTGTCAACCCTCAGCGTCCAAGCTCACGAAATTGGCCGGCTGATGTAACCATTCCGACCCTAATGGATTGCTGACTTGATAAACGAACCTTGAAGAGTTAAGGTGGTGCAGAGTGCTCAATATCGCTATTTAAGTTAAAATCGCCTGTTCATGATGTTTACTAAGTGTAGAACTCTCAAAATCCTGTGGTATTCATAATGGTAATTGAACTGAGTGGAGTGCAATTTGGTCTCAAATCATACACGTGGTTTCAAAATCGAACGAGCGCGCAGCGCGAGTTCGATTTGAAATCACAAGTATGATTTCAGACCAAAATTGCACGACACGAAGTTCAATTACCACTTTATTACATCCATTTTGAAATCGCAGAATTTTTTAGAACATGAATGACGCAATTTGGAACAGATGCAATTTAGAGCAAAAAATGGTGCGATTTAGGAATAAATCACACTGCTGAGAACCAATCAGATTGCACGGATAGCCAGTGATTTCAAAGTGGATGTAATGAAGATGGAAATCAGCTCTTTTTTTAATTATCAGCAATCACTGGTTCCAAGTCTATTTTAACCAAAAACAAAGAACGAAGAAATGAAGAAATGAATAATGAATAATTTGGAGAAAAAAACAAAGAATAATGAATAATCGTGATCCAATTATTCAGCTTCCACCCCCGAGTGAGTCAATGCTTGCACTGCATGGATAATTTTGATCAAAGAACAGGTAAGATGTAACGGTTTAAGCTTACAAGGAAAGGGACTCGTGCAGTTTGGCAACGTGATCCGCAACAGCAAGTAAATGAGAACAAAGAGAGGCAGTTTTAAAACCTTTACACTGACAAAAGCAGACTCCGTTTTTCTTTACCGCTACAAAATAAGGAGTTGCCCCGGTATCACTGTCTTGCAACAAGAAAACCTTTATGATCTCCCGGAGCTTCTTTAATGAAACTATTTTATCACCTAACACACACTTCAAAGCTGGGTACTTAATGAGCAGAAGCAAGAGATGACACTGCATGTACTCAAGTAACCTAGTACGGAGTGGTTTATTTACCGACTGTAAGTTCGGATTTGATTCTGATTCTCGCCTGCATGACTTCTAAGGGTCTGAAGGAGTAGAATTCCCTTGTTTTGTACTCGGACGACGATCAAATAGTATCCCATGATGCATTTCTCCAGAAGCATCACGTAATGTCGCAGTCACGGCAGATTCCATCGTGAAATAAGGTCGTTTTCTCGTCGGCTTTTTTCTCATTTGTGTTCCAGTAAAAGTAAGAAAATTGCATTGTTTTGTTATTGGACATGATTTTTCCGATTTGCAATGGCTTAAGAGCGAAATTTCCACATAGAAACATTTATTTCCATTGCTTCACTTAGTCTTCGCATCACAAAGTGTTCAGTGACCCACAACAATCT